AATGAGATTGCAAAACCGTTTCATAGAAAGCGGAAAGATATTCTATTGACACGGTCGGAAACCTTATTTCAAAATGGTCCCAACGTTCGAAATAAATACCCCTGCCGCAGCAAACCTGCCGTCTAAGCGAATTTCCATTTGGCCGAATTGATTTTCAATTTATCTATTTAAATAACATTAGGTTTAACGAGTACCTAGGTTTGCTGCTACAAGGAAACTAATAAAGTAGTGTGTTTTTAGTAAAATATTGATAGCTTACTATAAAATAAATAAATTTGCCAAGTTTGATCAAAATATATCCATAAACAAGCAAACTACAACATTTTACAATATTCTCCATAAGAATAACATGGGAATTTTAAATTTACCATTTTTTAGTTTTCTCCGTAACCAATGGCCGTACAAAAACACTTTGATATACTGAATTGTTTGTTTTTTTAAGCTCTTTAAGAAGGTTTAGAGAAAAATTGGGAAATTTTGTGTTTTGAGGGTAAAAAGTGAGAAAAACCTATTTTTACCCCATAAAACCCGCATAAAACCCTGTTCCCATGGACCGATCATGCTGGATCGCGAACTCATTCAAGTTTATCCCGCCTTACACCTTCAAACCAAATTTCATCAAAATCTGATAAATATTACTCAAGTTATCGTGTTCACGGACACATATATATATATATATATATATATATACATATATAAAAATTTGAACGAATGGTGTTTTTGGCCTCTGGGGACATTAAAATGAAAAAGTAAATCGGTCCCGGGCCTAAGTCTTACCATGAGACCTACGGTAATAGCTACTTCCCTATAGGGAAATTTGCTAAAAAGGTTGACATTCAATATGTCTTGTTTTGTGACATATAATATGTCACAAAACAAAACAGTTTTACATTATTTGTCATGCATATACTATAAAGATTTACTTTGGTTAAGTACAAACTACGTTAAAAGATTGAGTACGTCAATGTTAACTAAAATATACTATGATGTCTTTAAGATGAATTTTACCATGTGCAGCTCCTCCTCTGGTTGTCATAACAAACAATGTGTAATACTTTATAAACAGAGTGTATTACCTGGTTGAACTACTTTTAATGTTAATGAAACAAAAATGATTTTGGTCTACACCCCAAGCAATATGGTAGTGCCCCTGAACACATGTATTTTACCTGGCGTTTAAGGACACTACCATATTGTTAGGGACAATTTACCTAAACATAAATTAGAAATATTGATAAAAATAAAACCGCATTCTAAATTCACTATACAAAACCCATAACCATACTTTCAGCTAATCCATAAGGAAATAGAAGTCATGTACTGTATATTTTATCCATAACTGGTCATAACATTTTTAAGTTTTGTTACCAAAAATGCTACCGAAATTGCTACAAAAAATGTTACCAAAAATTGCAATGCAAAAATCTGTAATTTACTTAAAAAAGTAATATTTATTGATGTTTGACATTTCAACAGCAGGCAAATAGTACAAAAGTCGTAGGAAGTATAACAATAAAACCCTGCTAGCTTTATGTTCCATTGGTCTCTTAAGCCCTCACTTCGACGCTACAAACACCTGTTACCAGTAGAGCAGGATTTAGTTATAATATCTGGTTGTTTTTTTATTTTATCTTTTACTCTTGATTTTAGTTTTTTCTAAGGATTTTTACAAATCATTAGTGTAGCCAAGATAATGTTTAATTGAGTACGATTCTAATTTCCATGTAAAAGAAACGTTAAAACTATCCTAAAATTATGTTTAGTTTCTTGTAGGTAGGAAAAGTAGGCATGTTCATAGTCAGTGTGTCTTAAACAAGTGAACTACAATGATTTTTTTATTACTCATAATAATAACACGGAAATTTCAAATCTACAGTTTTTTGTACTTTTAGAGTTCAAGTCTGTCTGTATTTTCGTGCTTAGCTTTACTTGTAAAAATCTTTGTTTTGCTTACCAAATATTTCTGTATATTAATTCTCCAAATATTATGTAAAATGGTGTTGCATGCAGTATGAAGAATAAATAAATAAAGAAATTAGGCTTGTAATAACTCTTCAATATAATAAATTATTTTTATAGCAAAACTTAATATTTTTGGGTTAAATAAATGGGAAAACCATAGTTTTTTTCACCATAAACACCTTTCTTATCATGACGGTCTCCGAACTCATTGGAATAAAATATATAGGTTTACATGGTATTACCTTAATAATATTAAGGTAATAATACCCCAAGCAATGATATATATGAAGTGATATATTATATCACTTTCAATTACTTATATTATATATTTGAATTGAAACGGATGGTGCTTTTGGCCTCTGGGGACCTCAAAACGAAAAAAAACGAAAAAGGTAAATCGGTCCCGTGTCCAGGTTCGTAATGTCTTATTCCCTATATGGGAAATTTGCTAAAATGTATAGACTATAAAAATATGTTTATTTATTCATCGGCAATAACACTACAAGTAGTTTATAATAATAATTATCAAAAAGGAAGAGATGGACAACTAACTGTGAACTATGAAAATTAAATTTGTAAATATTAAAATAGAGTGATTATTGAAGAATGAGATGAATAAGTACTGTTTAATGTATTGTATAAGATATCAGATTTATCACAAAGTTATATACCACAAAGTTGAACTCATTTAAATTGTAATTTCATTTGATCTTATCAATGTATGCACTTATGTGATAGAAGAAACATTTGTACAACAACCCCAACTATTAATTTTTTTTACAATAAAAATCCACCCTTTAATGTCATACAATGTTCATTTGTAAGCTTTCAACGAAATGCACCAACTAGTATGAGGTTATACCTACTTACACTACTTTATCATTATTTACATGTATTTACATTACAAGTACATACTTTACTAAATGTATCGTTAAAATCAGTTAGGCCTACACATATAAAACGAAACAACTGCAAAAATGCATTTAAGTTTAACAAAGCTGAAGAGGAAACATAGCTCCTGTCTCTAGGTTCTACCTTAACTAAGTCACGTTCGATAATAGTGGTGTTCTCTAAGGAGCTGGTCTGGTAGTTTAGGACTCTCTTAGGGACTCAGTTCTAAACCCTAAGCACCAAAGGCAATTTGCTATATACTAATGCTCTGACCAAGTAGGCTTATAACCTAATGACACTGTAGTTTCATGAATAATTTTAAATATAAATAAAGAAAATTGTTCCTGTGTTACTAAAATGCGAAGTCGTACATGTACTGCAGTTTCAATTCCACCAATGGTAAAAACATTTCACTATCACAGCTACTTTAACGTATGAATGCAGTGTGGGTGTAGAACGAAAATTATCTGTAAACCTTCTTTCCAGTCTAAGATCGGCTGTTTCTGTTGCCAGGACCACCTATCGATGTATAAAACTAACTAATTTTTTTATACAACGATGGTGTATAAAACATATGTAAACCTTTTGATACTCCAATGGACTGTGTCTATTTTCAAACCGTCAAAAAACTAATGACTTTTCACAATTCGATATTTCTAAGTAATCACATGATTCTTATGATAAGGGACTAAGAAAATGTAACTTGTTGTAGATATTTGGGGTTCTTGCTACGTAGAACGGGGATGTGGAGAAGGCCAGCGAGAGAGAAAAGTCTGGTGTCAAGACATTCACAACAACAGAGCTGTGTCACTGTACCACTGCAAGCCTAGAGATGAGCCTTCCAGGACTAAACCGTGCTTTGTGGCCTGTAGACATCACAAAGGTAAGGGAACATCAATGTGTGCTACCTATATAGTGTACACAGTAGTGAGGTTGATAAGAGATGAAGTGTCAAGATATTCACAACAACAGAGCTGTGTCACTGTACCACTGCTAGCCTAGAGATGAGCCTTCCAGGACTAAACCGTGCTTTGTGGCCTGTAGACATCACAAAGGTAAGGGAACATCAATGTGTGCTACCTATATAGTGTACACAGTAGTGAGGTTGATAAGAGATGAAGTGTCAAGATATTCACAACAACAGAGCTGTGTCACTGTACCACTGCAAGCCTAGAGATGAGCCTTCCAGGACTAAACCGTGCTTTGTGGCCTGTAGACATCACAAAGGTAAGGGAACATCAATGTGTGCTACCTATATAGTGTACACAGTAGTGAGGTTGATAAGAGATGAAGTGTCAAGATATTCACAACAACAGAGCTGTGTCACTGTACCACTGCTAGCCTAGAGATGAGCCTTCCAGGACTAAACCGTGCTTTGTGGCCTGTAGACATCACAAAGGTAAGGGAACATCAATGTGTGCTACCTATATAGTGTACACAGTAGTGAGGTTGATAAGAGATGAAGTGTCAAGATATTCACAACAACAGAGCTGTGTCACTGTACCACTGCAAGCCTAGAGATGAGCCTTCCAGGACTAAACCGTGCTTTGTGGCCTGTAGACATCACAAAGGTAAGGGAACATCAATGTGTGCTACCTATATAGTGTACACAGTAGTGAGGTTGATAAGAGATGAAGTGTCAAGATATTCACAACAACAGAGCTGTGTCACTGTACCACTGCTAGCCTAGAGATGAGCCTTCCAGGACTAAACCGTGCTTTGTGGCCTGTAGACATCACAAAGGTAAGGGAACATCAATGTGTGCTACCTATATAGTGTATACAGTAGTGAGGTTGATAAGAGATGAAGTGTCAAGATATTCACAACAACAGAGCTGTGTCACTGTACCACTGCAAGCCTAGAGATGAGCCTTCCAGGACTAAACCGTGCTTTGTGGCCTGTAGACATCACAAAGTTAAGGGAACATCAATGTGTGCTACCTATATAGTGTATACAGTAGTGAGGTTGATAAGAGATGAAGTGTCAAGACATTCACAACAACAGAGCTGTGTCACTGTACCACTGCAAGCCTAGAGATGAGCCTTCCAGGACTAAACCGTGCTTTGTGGCCTGTAGACATCACAAAGGTGAGTGAACATCAATGTGTGCTACCTATATAGTGTATACAGTAGTGAGGTTGATAAGAGATGAAGTGTCAAGACATTCACAACAACAGAGCTGTGTCACTGTACCACTGCAAGCCTAGAGATGAGCCTTCCAGGACTAAACCGTGCTTTGTGGCCTGTAGACATCACAAAGGTAAGGGAACATCAATGTGTGCTACCTATATAGTGTATACAGTAGTGAGGTTGATAAGAGATTAAGTGTCATGACATTCACAACAACAGAGTTGTGTCACTGTACCACTGCAAGCCTAGAGATGAGCCTTCCAGGACTAAACCGTGCTTTGTGGCCTGTAGACATCACAAAGGTAAGGGAACATCAATGTGTGCTACCTATATAGTGTATACAGTAGTGAGGTTGATAAGAGATGAAGTCTCAAGACATTCACAACAACAGAGCTGTGTCACTGTACCACTGCAAGCCTAGAGATGAGCCTTCCAGGACTAAACCGTGCTTTGTGGCCTGTAGACATCACAAAGGTAAGGGAATTATCTTTCTATTGGAAATTTCATGAATTAGGGTATGAGTGTAAGAGTTTATGTACCAAAGTGTCTACTGTCTACACTACCGTCATTAAATTTTCAGGTGTTTTCATTATGAAAATATTATTGTCCCTGCAAATGTCTATAATTTTTAATCAATTGCGAATACATAGAAGTAACATCTAAATATAATCTAAAATAATCTAAACTACAAGTTACATAATCTTTGGCTGGATCTGCACATAAGTTAGCCACCGGTTATTCAATTTACGACATAAGTCCTTAAGATTTAACTGGTTTAATAATACATGAACATATATATAGAATCATATTTGAGGGGGTTATGAAAACACATCATTGATATTGTAATATCATACTTTTACATTTTTACGCCGTTTAAAGTACTGTAAGCTGAAAAGTATGTCCTAAACTACTGTAAGTGTATAAACTAAAATGTTTGTAATAAACACTCTACTTTAATCATAGCTTAGTTGTACATAATATCTTTATTAGTTAAGCTTTATTTGTATATCAATTTCAACATTTGTCATAGAGCTCGTCCCGCATCCAGTTCTTGCGCAGCCTATACGTGACTATTTTTTCTTATTTCTATTGCATATATTGTAAACAATTTTCAAAATAAAACAGATTTTTATTTGAATTAATTTGATTTGATAATCAGGTAATCAATAACTACTAGTTGATCAAAGTTAAGTTTACAATACCTCCAAACACAGATTTGTTCTAGAAGGTCAAAACTTTCGTTTAACTCTTAAGGATAAGTCTTTTCAGATTTGATTCTAAATTATTCAAATATTTCGTACTCTTCTTAAGTTATATGATTTAGCTTCAATTTTTGACTCTAACCCACTTCAAACAACACCAAAAATAAAACAAAGTACATGTTAACAAAATGTATAACTGAAGAATCAGGCTTAGTGTAGATTATTCATACATGCTTGATCGTTTTACTAGAAGTCGGCCCATCGTGTCCCAAGGCTGCATACTGTTGGCATCAAATTCATTCCCATCAAAAATCTTTCTTCATCTGCAACGTCCGCTGTTGAACCTCCGTGTCCCGCCACCTCCTAATTTAAGAGTGACCCTTATAATCCTCGGTTACTATCTGCGTTAAGACTTTCCGCAAGGGCGAAGCCCCACCCACCACCACCCCTTCTTAGCCACTACCTGATACCATTATCATACACCCCTTCATTCATAAGTTAAACCCCCCCCCCCCTTCCCTTTGTATATTTCCCATCCTTATGGAACAGCTGAAGCCAATTTAAAGTAGATCTGTCCGGTGCACTCTAGATGTTGTGTTTAATTTGTTTGACATATAATGGTAAAACATACCTCGTCAGGCAATCCTTAACATGTAGTGTCGAAGCTGCTACATACGTTTCGGCGGTTATTTACTGATCTCCGCCATCGTCAGGCAAACAAAAGGATCCACTTGATATATCGTCAGAATAAATCAATAAAACACACATTTTACAAAACATAAAACGAAAATGATAGGCCTATCAATTACACGCACTGCTGAGGCAGGAAGCAGACTGAATGTTATGTTGTGATGTGACTTAAGTGTTCTGAACGCACATCAAGTGGATCCTTTTCTTTGCCTGACAATGGTGGAGATCAGTAAATAATCACCGAAACATATGTAGCAATTTCGTCACTACATGTTAAGGATTGTCTGACGAGGTATGTTTTAACCATTATATGTCATATTACGCAATCCTGGGGCTATGAAAATGAATTTGAATTAATTTGTTTCTCGTTATTTCAGTCACTTAAAACCCCGTTTAACCGTTCACCAATAACTCATCCTCTAGTTATATAACCAAACATTAAAGCACAAACCATAAAATTAACTCTTAAATAATAGAAACAATTTCGTCGACACTAGCCACCAGTGTCGCCGGACATGAACTAGACACGAGAAACGAGCTTCAAAATTTACAGGGAGATGGGAAGTATACTTGTATTGGTTAGTCTATGGTTAAACATTCAAGAAGTGTATAGTCAATTTGTTACAATATTGGTATTTTTAAAAGTATAATAGAGGTGTCGGCTTGTTTGTACATTTGTTTGCAGTGATAATCTCAGACACCAGATATACATGTAGAATTTTTATAACAAGAATTCTTATTACTAAAAGACTTATAAAGTTTGTAAACACAACTCTATAGCAACATATTCAAACTTATTACTTAATGCACATTCATTTATCATTTTAGTTTGATTACAATTACTTAACTATGGTATCATATACCAGAAAAGATTGATCACTGTATTTTCGTGTATGGAGTAGGTTTATACACCATCGATTTCGTGATAACTTAGCTTAGCCCTGGGACCGTTTTTAAGGTACCCATGTAAGGGATTTTGAAAGAATTTTTTTGAAATATGCATGACAAATTACTGTAATATTTTTTTTATCTTCAAAACTCAATTCATAATCAATATTGAATATTTTGTTTAAGAATTGATAATAAAATATCCAGTGGGTATAATTTCTTTATTTAAAAAATTTTTGTATGGTAAAATATTCTTTAGAACTATGAGGTTATTTTATTTAGTCTATGATTTTGTCATTGATAATAGGAAAGATTAGTAAATATTAGTAGACCACAGAAATAAGTAGGACCATTGCTGTACTGTATTACAAATCGAATTCTCTGCTCCCGAGAACTGTTTCAGGGGGTTAAAATAGTTATCGGATTTAAAATACATAACTAGCTGTTCTGAATTAAACACAATTTTAACTGACCACTTGATTCTCGTACGTAAGATGGGCCAACAGCTTGTATATATATAACGTGACAGGGTATTTTTATTTCAAGATTCTGAATCAACCACTTAACGGATTTTAACGATTTTTGTGTTGAAAGAAAGATAATTTTGAGAACTAGGGAATGTCGAAGCCATATTTTTAGTTAAGGATTCAGTTTTTTAGAAATTAATTTTCTTAAAGTCTAGCAGCCGACGCTAACATTCTAGACGAAAGCTTTTGCTAAAATACCATTTGCTTAACGTAACAACTGTAAACATTATGCGTTTGTGACACAAATTCAGCATTTTGATAAAAATTAAATGAAACGTAGGGTTGATTTATTTATACTAGGGAGGGGAAGTAATTAGTTGGCGGGGCTTCGCAGCCGTGGATGCAGCCATGGTGGAAGGAAAAAACATAGGTGTGCTATTCCCACATATTTTGGGACGCAACGATATTTATCAACCAAGGCAGATGCAGGATAAGTGTCACTCAAAAATTTGGAGGTGGCGGGACAGATTTGGGTTCGGAGGTGGCGGGAAAGATTTGGGTTCGGAGGTGGAGGGAAAGATTTGGGTTTGGAGGTGGCGGGAAAGATTTGGGTTCGGAGGTGGTGAGACAGATTTGGGTTCGGAGGTGGCGGGACAGATTTGGTTTCGGAGGTGGCGGGACAGGGAGATAGCGGGAGCACACGCGCCTCCCGGTAGTGGTATGCCTGGCAGATTGTGACATAATCTAGACTACTCCGACAACTTCTCCAACAACTACTCCGCAACTACTCCTACACGGTCCTACGCGGTGTCATTGGAATTCTAACAATTAGCAACAATTAACCACAAACTTCGGGGAAAAGAATTGGGTTTGAATTTAGCCACGCGGGGGTATGTAGTTGGTATTTCAGTTTTTCATAAGTTTTGAGGTCGTTATACAAAGTTCTAAAACGTAATGCGAACTCACAAATATCCTGAAAATGTTTCAACTATGAAATGAAGATACCATGAGCAATATCCATACCAACCAAAAACAGTATAAGTATAAATATTTGCTTTGACTCGAAAAATATAATTATAAATAAATATAATACAATAATCATAATATAAATATAATCATATAAATAAATATAAATATAATAAATATAAACATAATCATGGTATAAATATTGCACCTGTTGCTCGAATTCGAGCAATTGCAAAATAGTAAAGGCGTTTTTTTAACGAATAACAGTCACAAATTCCGTTGACTGAAAAGAGTTTACTCAAATATAATGTATTCAATCACTCCACTCCAGTTATTGAAACTAAAAACGAGCTATTTTGCGTACTGTATACAGGTTGAATACAATGTGTTGAGTTAATGTGATTATTTCCATGCAGTGGTAAAAAAATCCCTTAAATACATTACCAAAGGTGTTTTTAAATTGAAAATCCAATCTTCTTAAAAAGTTGAGTAAGTTTTGCGTAAAATTCAGCGACTAAAGATATTTAGAGAAAGTAGTATAAGGTATTTAAAAGTTGGTATGAAAAGTAATAACACCTTAAGGTGTACCTTGAGCGCTCATCTTTGCAGCTAACCCATTATATTCACCCGTCAAAAGTTCTTTCATTAAACATTCTAGACTTTCAAAGTTGTCTTCAACTTTTAAACGCCGCTTCCTAGTTTTGTAGTATGTTTTGCATTTATACTGACAGTATAAACAGATTGTTTATTTATACTATGCTAGAGTGTGATCTTGAGGTACCAGAGTCATTGAATGAATTTTAAAACTGTTATGCATATCTCGGAAACTTTAATGTTTATAAAGAATTGTAGTTGGAACAAGTCTTTTTTACCAACACACCACCGTTTTTTTGTGAATTTTTTTAAGTGATGAAAAATGTCAGCAATAAACCTGTGAACAACAGTATATTGTGGTAATCAAAGATGTGACAACGATGGTCGATTTCGACAAGAGGCGTCGGGGAACGTCTTTTAGTTTGGGCCAGACCAGTATGATTGGTCAAAATTTATCTCTTTCGTACATAATAATGAATTTTAAGATCTTATAAACTTATACTCAAAGTAAAACGAATAGTGTGGGGAGATTGTTTATTTTACCTGTGGAAACAAACCTACTACTGAAATGCTAATCAATAAGTTATTTAAAATTGAGTAAATAGTAAAAACCATACAAAATTCTTTATGAATGATTTTTCTGCAACACTTAGTGTGGATAAACGTT